GTCTAGGATACGAGAACAGAAGGGGTGTTTATGATTTGCCGTCCAGAAGTGAGCCTATGCACATATCTTCCGTTTAAAGTAAATTCTAAAACTGGCTGTTGTCTCAAACTTGGAGGCAGATCAAAGCAAATGGCTTGATTAGATGACAAGGCTGATGCAGGGGTGGATTATTCATTCTCCTCGGTTTGTATTGGTGGCATGGCGGGGAGACGTGGAACATATGTTAATATTGCTTGATGGAGGTTGAGTATGAAAGCCATGCTTGTGGACATCCATCAGCATAGTCCCTCTAGCACGTTGTGCTGAGCTCGTGCTCAAATTTAGGTACTGTGCTGGTTCTGTTAGTTGTGGAACTTCTGCAGATTTGTAGAGCTGTATGCTAAAATTATACAAATGGTCTTTCATTTGGAGTCTCCTCAATTCTTTTTTGTCTAAAGACTGCAGCCATTCATTCTGATAGCAATTGCGAGGAAGACCTGGGGGTGCAACGGCTTTTGCATTGACTAGGTGAGAGTGTTTTCTGTGTCTTGGTTGCTGTCCTCGGATTGTTTGATGTCTTATCCTAGGCTCATGTCTGTGTTGTACCCAAGTATCCAGGTTCAGCATCCTGAGTAGTAAATAGGACGTCAATGTGTGGGGCAAGTTTTGAACTGTGGCTATTGTAGCTGCCAGTTGGGCATTGACTCTGAAGCCAAAATTAAGATTCAGTGCCAGACAGGAATTCACGAGCAAAAAAGTTAAATGTTTGAGAGCAGAGAAACTATGTTGTAACATACATGTATCTTATAATATTGGTATGAGTCCAGATGATTCATCATTTACCAACTCACAATGATACCAACCAAGCAACTTGCAGTTGAGTGTGTTGTACGTGGGTGGCATTTTGGCAAAACCGGTGCTGCAGGTGAGATTTTCATGTTCAAGGGTGGATCAGGCTTGAGTCAGACAGTCTCTTGCACGGTCCTGCCCATGGTGTGTGGTTGTACAACCAACACCTGACCCGCTGCAATATTAATTGTAAACATGATGATATACTTTGACAATTAAGAGTGATCATACTACCTACCTCCTTCATGTCAGTTAAATCCTTGATGTTGGTTAGTACATGTCCTCCCAAATTTTCCCTGACTTCATCCCAGGTATCATCAAGTGTACGTTCCCATTGTAGAGAATTTGCACCCCAGAACTCTTCCAAATGTGCATTGAGTATTTCAATCTGGGCGTCATTAAGCTGTACTTCAGGCATGATTAAATGTGGTACTAGTTAAAAGTGAGGTGCGTATTTGAAGACGAGCACTATCTTTTTCTTTTCCATTTGAGTGCAAATTTTCAGTCAATTTAATACCACATTCATCCATTCCAAGCAAATATTTGGCTCTTCTGTCAGATCTGAGCAATGATCTTATCACCTTAACTCCATACTGGGCCTTTGGCTAAGGCCCGGAAAGTGTCAGGTACCTCCCAGCTAATGCCTTCCCTGATATATTGCTTCCATATATGGAAATTTAGTGCCAGGTCCATTGAGTTAATTAGCCTTGTGAGGCCTAGGTGTCATAGAAGCTAACTTAAATTAGAAGCATAGGCTCTATATCAATCACTGCCTTCTATCATAAATATCTTATATGAGCATCTTTAAACTGGCATCTGGTTTAACAACATCATCTCTTCTCCGCAGAACTATTTAGCATGGGCCCGCAGCTCCTCACAATGTTTGGCTCCAGCGTTACAAAGAGTAGATTGGAAGGAGTCTAAAATAAGCAAAGGTGTGAGTACAAAACAAATAAGTGTGAAAGATTGCATATCCCGATCAACTTTGTCAACACCCCATCAAACTCCTCATAAACATGGTATGTTCCCCATCCAGGACATTGACCATTGTGTTTCTCAGCCATTGCTTATACCTCCAAGGAAGGCAAGTCCATTGAGTAAGCACACCTACTATTATTTGTCTGAAATTGGTTTAGTCACAAAATGATTACATGAGACAATGGCTGGATCATTGTTTAGAGTATCTGCAAGTCCTCATGCAGGAAGAGGGGCGGTCCTTGGGACAGACTTGCAGCCTTTGTTTAGTGAGAGAAGGAACTTGGTAATGCACAGAATATTTGGGGAACCCAGAGTATTGCATGTCATGCTGCAGGGATGCTCACCAGAGGTTACCATTTCATAGAGTTGAGCAATGGGTGGGCACACATTTTTAACCTTCTTGGCCTTATAGAGCCGGCTTGGTGATTCATCTGGGCCACGCAGGGAAACCATGCCTGGGGCGTGATGACAACCACAGTGTAGCAGAGGACAACTGCTGGAGGG